ATCAAGATTTTCCCAGGATATGGTTTAGGAGAAGGTAATCTACTATAGATTTTCCAACAGGGACATGGTGGGGAGAGCTCTCTCGGGATAAGTCTACAGGAGTGGAGCTTATTAAGATTGGGCAGCACTGATCCTGAAGAACTAATGTTTATTTAGTGCCTGCTATATGCCAGGCAGTGGTTTGGGTTCTTTACCTACATGGATTTATTAAATCCTCACAACATCCCCATGAGGTTATTTAAAGTTGAGGAAAATGAGACTTCGGAAGACCCCCTCACGACTGTGAGTAGGTGTGAACTCCGGCTCTTTGACTTGAGCTTGGCTGTGGGAGGGAAGGAAAGTGAGGCCTCGGGTCAGTAGAAAGGTGAGCTAGCAGTGGCAGCTGCCGTTAAAACCTGCATTTTCCGAAAAGGCATTAATTGTAGCAATGATAGTCTATGTACTTAACTCATTGTAAAGTGCTTTCACTTCTTGAGAATTTTCAAGCACAGCATCCTCCCATAGGTTTTTGATACCTACTGTCACCAAAAGTCAGGGTATTGCTCTATTTAAATAAAATTCTAGCACCATCTTCAGCATCTAGATCAATTATCAACTCTGTGGGTATAATTACCACTGTGCGCTTAAAATTAACCTTAAGTGACCAGGCCACTGACCTTGGGTCATAAGTCAAGGAAGGAGGGACACTCTCCCTGAGTCGTCACAGAGTCCTTGCAACTTCTAAATTAAGAATACAATTGTATATCTTATGTGGAATGTCATGATCCGGGCTGTTGTATCATTTATTTGATTGCCGTTAAAGGAGAAGGGCCTATATATCGTGGGGGTGAGAGGGAGGGGATTGGAGGGAGATCCTGAGAGTGGGGAAGTGGAGGTTTCCTACAGCCAATAGCATTTATTGTAGGTGCCCAGGGCTCCAAATTCGCCTCTTTCTCTCTTCTTCCAAGTACTCTTTCCTCCTAGTCCTGCTTTCTTTAAAGCAGTTCATTTCCTTTCACCAGTCCTTGTCCTAGAATAGCTCATCAGAGTTTCTTCCCCCCACCCGTCAAAATGTTCCAGTGCGCCCCCGCCCCCCACCCCGGCCCTGTTCAGCCCATATGAGAAATGACTGTGTAAAGAACATCTCAACATCTGAAAACACTACCTCTGAAGACTTTGTACATTTTATTATTTAGTGTTCTCATGGAAAAGAGTCACATAATAAGTGTCTTTTAGAATTTCGTTCCAGAAATAAAAATTATATGAAAAATAGATTCCTATTTTAACATATTATGTTACATATAGTAATGAGCCAGATTCCTTCTCTTTGCTACAAAAAAAGATGTTTTCTTTCTGGCCTTGAAAAAAATGTGATCCTCACTTATAGCATTATATAATTTTTTCCTCTTTCTAATTTAGAAGTCATATTAAATCTATGTGTGTCACCTGCAGTTCTTCCAAAAATAGCAATAAGTATGATACTTACTGATTTGTGAGCACTGCATATTTGCATTTTGTGAGCCCAAATTGCATTATAATCACTGCGGTTCCATGATTAGATCAGGATACTCCAAAGATCAGGAGAAAGATGATTAGCTTCAAATGGGTATTGCTAGGAGTCTTCAAAACATTTTAAGTGACTTTTTCTCATTACTGAAGTAATACCCATTTGTTGTAGAAAATTTAAGTGGCAGGTGGACAAAAAATATCATCTGTGATCCTATCAATCATTAGCATTTTGGCCTTCCAAATATGACTTGCCAAACATTTTTTAATTGCACATATATATTTCTTTAAACCAAAACCAACATCTGTCTATGTCATTGAAGGGAGAACACAAATTACAGATATATAGACTCCATAACCAATTGTAATTATCATTGTAAGATGCTGCCAGAATTCTTGGACAAGAGGACTCAAGTAGTGTAAGTCAAATCAATAAAATTTACTTGTTCCAATGGTAGAGGTAGGCAACGGAATCATTCAGACCTACTTTATATCTCTTAATTTAATTTCTGAATTAATTTTTAAAATCAAAATTAAATAGAAAAGTATAGATCGAGAAGACCCACCCACCACTATCTTCATTCACCCTGTTCCTTCACCTGGTTTCCTATGGTAATGACTTTTTAAAAATATATTTGTGTTGTTTCCAACCGACTTTTATTTCAGACAGTACTGTGGTGAATGCTCTTCTTTATATGTCATTTCACATGTGTGAAAGTCTGTTTGCTCTTCTTTTTTTTTTTATTGAGGTATGGTTGATGCATAATATTATATAACTTTCAGGTGTACAACATAGTGATTCACAATCTTTAAAGGTTATACTCCATTTATAGTTATTATAAAATATTGGCTGTATTCCCCATGTTGTACAGTATATCCTTGTAGCTTTTTTTTTTTTTTGCGGTACGCGGACCTCTCACTGTTGTGGCCTCTCCCGTTGCGGAGCACAGGCTCCGGACGCGCAGGCTCAGTGGCCATGGCTCACAGGCCTAGCCACTCCGCGGCATGGGGGATCTTCCTGGACCGGGGCACGAACCCGCGTCCCCTGCATCGGCAGGCAGACTTTCAACCACTGTGCCACCAGGGAAGCCCTATTTTTTTTTTATATATAGTAGTTTGTACCTCTTAATCCCCTTTCCCTATCTTGCTGCTCCCCACTTTCCTCTGCCCACTGGTAACCACTAGCTTGTTCTCTATATCTGTGAGTCTGTTTCTTTTTTGTTATATTCACTAGTTCGTGGTGTTTTTTAGACTCCACGTATAAGTGATATCATATAGTATTTGTATTTCTCTGTCTGACTTACTTCACTTAGCATAATGCCCTCCTACTCAATCCATGTTGTTGCAAATGGCAAAATTTCATTCTTTTTATGGCTGAGTAATATTCCATTGTATATATACCACATCTTCTTTATCCATTCATCTCTTGGACACTTAGGTTGCTTCCATATCTTGGCAATTGTACATAATGCTGCTATGAACATTGGGGTGCATGTGTCTTTTCAAAGTAGAGTTTTCAATTTTTTCAGATATATACTCAGGAGTAGAATTGCTGGGTCATATGGTAGCTCTATTTTTAGTTTTTGGAGAATGCTCCATGCTGTTTTCCACAGTGGCTGCAGCAATTTGCATTCCCACCAACAGTGTAGAAGGGTTCCCTTTTCTCCCCACCCTCTCCAGCGTTTGTTATTTGTGTTCTTTTTGGTGATAGCCATTCTGACTGGTGTGAGGTGATACTTCACTGTGGTTTTAATTTGCATTTCTCTGATGATTAGTGATGTTGGGCATCTTTTCGTGTGCCTGTTGGCCGTCTGTATGTCTTCTTGGGAAAAACATCCATTCAGGTCTTCTGCCCATTTTTAAATCATGTTGTTTGTTTTTTTGATGTTGAGTTGTATAAGCTATTTATATATGTTGGATATTAATCTGTATTGGTTATATCATTTGCAAATATTTTCTCCCATTCAGTAGGTTGTCTTTTCATTTTAGGTAATGACTTTCTTTTTAACCACTTTATTGAAGTACGGTTGATGTAAAAAGCTGTACGTATTTAATATCACAACCTGATGCGTTGGGGGATAACTCTACACCCATGAAACCATCACCACCATCAAGGCCATAGACATATTTATCACCTCCCAAAGTTTTCTCCCCTATTATTATTATATAAGAACACTTAACATAAGATCTACCCTCTTTGCAACTTTTAAGTATACAATACATTATTGTTAGCTATAAGTATTATGCTATATAATAGATCTCCAGAACTTATATGGCATGACTGAAATTGTACACTTTGACCATTAGTTTCTTGGGTTGGAAATAAGAGTATATATTATTTACTTAGACAAAAGGCAGAATATTAGATACATTCTTCCACACCTTGCTTTTTTTACTTAACAGCCTGCCCTGGAGATCTTCCATGTGAAAACCTAAAAAGCTTAGCCATTTTTTATAGCTACATAGTATATGGTTCTGTGGATGTACTGTAGTTTACTTTGTCATCTATAGACCATCTTTTGCTGTTATGAACAGTGCCACAGTGAATCTACATGTATATACTTCATGTTACACACATGTGACTACAACTATAGGACATTTTCCAAAATTAAAATTGCAGAGGCAAAGATAAGTACATTTTTTATTTTGATAGATGTTATCAAATTGACCTGTGCAAAGATTATACCGTCTTCCATCTCCACCAGTATGTTTCCCCACAGCCTCATATTATTTTTTATTTGAAAAACTTTGTGTGATTTTTAAAAAGCAAATTCCATTCCAGTGATTCTGGCTTATTTGAGCTTATATTCTCTGAGCTCAAACCAATTGTTTAATACATTAATTCGAAGTTGGTATAGTCAACTCTTTATTATTTATTAAGATAGAAGGGAGCCATGGCTCAGATATCCACAATGGCAGATAATTCAGTAGTAATTCAATTCAGCTTTGAAATGTATTACGGCTTTTTCCCCATTAAATTTTCTTTCCCCACAATGTCAGCATTAGGAAACGTTAACTCGGTCTTTTAGCACAAACTGGGTACTGATGGAAGAAGAAAGTGAAAAATTGGAAAGAAGTCAGTGTAGGATTCAGAATTTTTCCACCTATCTCTGGGATCATAGATGATATTTATTTTGTTCTTTTGACACCTTTATCTGTATATTTTTAAATGTTACAACGTGCTCGGATTACTTGTGTAAAAAAATAGTCATAGTTACTGTTAAAATGAAATGCCCAACACAAGTATAATATTTCATTATTTTCAGCCTGAGAAGTGTAAACCCTTAAGGGAAACAATGTTAAGTAGCACTAATTAATCAATTAATAGAAATTTTAATGAAATTAGTTCCAACATATTTAAAATCGCTTGTTACCACGTGTTGCTTAGAGAGTAGAGAAGCCACGTGTAAATAATGGAGAGTTTACGAGGTTGGGATGACCTCAGTATAAGCCTCTGGCGGAGAGGGGGTCAGCAGTACAGAGATGTCTGATTTGGCCTTTCTCTCCCCTTGCAGCATCTTCCTCAAAGAGCTGGAGAAGTATGAGCAGCTGCCTGAGGATGTGGGACACTGCTTTGTTACCTGGGTAACCGACCTGAGCTTCTTCTCCTCCCACTGTCACATGGTTTCCAGGAATGCAGATGCTACCAGATGACATCACTGTTCAGTGCCTGAGCTGATTGGTGTCACTGAAATTCTAACACAGGACCAAGGGCTATAGAGTGGGGCCATGAGTAGATCTGAAAGAAGCAGTCTGTCCCTGAGGAGCAGAGCCCTCCTTGGGGAAGGTCCTTAGATGGTGTGTCCAAGCTCCACCTTAAGTTCTCAGAAACTTTCTAAAATTGAGATGTCAGGAGATTGGAACAAGACCCCCACCCTTGGCAGAAGAACTACTCCAGCTCCATCCACGAGTTGTTGTGTTTTCAGCAGGATGAGGATTAAGGAATTAGAACTTTAGAAATCCACCAAACCATTGTTTACATTTTCTTCCTTATTAGAGAACAGACTCCTTGGGTATCCATCCCAATTCTGACCTACAGGATGCAAATCTAGTCATTCTCTTTCTTGGGCCAAGTAAATGGGCTGAATTTACTAGGTTCTACTTATACAAACAGAAACATTATTGTCTGTTAGCATCTCTGTGCCACATTATCCTGAGTTCAGGTTCATGGTATGAGTGCCAGCATCTTGAGGGAAGTCCACCTAGTACAATAAGTGCAACTAAACATGGAAATCCTTCCCCAGGGCCAGGAGCTCTAATATTCAACAGTTAACTAATTATAACTTCCACTCAAAATGGGCTAATTACTTTTCCAAATGTCTTCACTCTTCAGAGAGTTTGTGCTCTTAACAGCCCTCTGGAATAGGCAGGGCTATGGTTATGTTTTATATCCTATATACGGAAACATTTCAGAGGAGCTAGGACGTTGGCTAGCCCATTGACATGTAATTAATCTCACAGCTCATCCCACAACTCAAGACCTGAGTTACTTCCGTTTTCTGAAACTATAACATTTGCTTCCTGGCACACTCTCATTTCTTAAGGAAGTCTCAGACTGCCATCTTATTTTGTGCTAATACATTTTTCGCCTCTAAATACGTGAGCCCATGCACAGTTCACATTAGTGCTGATAAATAATTTATGATCCCTTGCATGGCCAGTGTAGAGAAAAAATGAGATTGACCATTAAGTGAAGGTTTTGGGGGTTTTTTGGTATCTTGTTTCATACATACTGTGGATTTGCCTTACCATCAACCATAAGTATGGTTTATCAACATCTCCTAGGGATGATGAATGCCTCCCAGGTAGTATATAAACCCTAAAACTAGTTTCAGAAAACCTTTCATGATGGTGTAAAATAGGCACATTTTGCCAAGAATTATCCCAAAGTGACTTTCTTAAGTCTTATCATCTTAATTTATGAGTGTAGTGCAGGAGTAAAGGGTAGAAAGAGTTGTTTGCAATGTATTGAACAGCAACAGTTATTACCAAGAAGCCTGAAGGCAGCTGGCCTGGGCTCCACCCCTTTGTAACTATGGGAATTTAAAGTTACTTCACCAACCTTATGCCACCATTTTCACAATTGTAAAATGGGGATGATAATAATAGAACTCACCACATAGGGTTCTCATAAGGAACAAACGAGTTAATATATATAAAGAACTTGGGAAAGTGGTGGCATAAATGAAAGCCTGCTATAATTAAAACATAGCTAGGCTGCTTTCTTAGAAGAGGACGTCCCCAATGTGATATAGGCACGAGGATGGGAGCATTTCACAAATGGGAAAAGTGCTTGGTGGCCAAAGTACACACACCCTTTCCAGTGGAAAGGCTGTGAAACACTGACCCAGAGGATCCCAAAGACATGAGAAATGAATTTTCACCAAGCCATAAAATTCTTGACTTGAAGTAGCAATCTGGTTAGGACTCATTGTTCAGACCCTGCCCCAGAGGGTCCCCCTGCTTTCCTTTCCCCCATCATTGCTTCTGGGAAGTGGGGGATGGTAGCATAGGCGTTTAACATGCCCTACAAACTGCCCCCAGTGGAGACATTGTAGTTCTAGCAGATCTCCCTCTGAGATCACACTTCGTTTTCATTCTTTGACTTTCGTTTTCAGAGCAAATGCTGTCATTTTTCAAGATGGGAAGCGCAATTGTAGGTAATCCAAAAAGGGGGATAATCTCTCAGTAAATTCTGTCCAGCGTCAGGATACATGAGGATATGTGAATTGTTTTTTTTTTTTAATTCTATCTAGCACTGACTAGTATTAAAACGAGCTCACTTTCAGTGAGCTTTCTCCCCCTGATGATAGGAACAAAGCATCCCAAAGTTTGTTAGGGGACCACAGGCCCGATGAGCCCAGGACATTTGCCACGGATCATCCTGTATCACGCAATATCTGAGGGTTTAACTGCGCAGCCCTTGCTGGCAGTCAACAGAAGGGAGCAACTAATGGGTGCTGACCTATTATTGTTTTTGTTTTTTTTAGGCAGACAAATTTCAGATGTACGTCACCTACTGTAAAAACAAGCCTGACTCCAACCAGCTGATCCTGGAGCACGCAGGCACCTTCTTTGATGTAAGCTGTGAATTTCCATCCTTGAACCACTGATGAGCAGGTGGAAATTGCTCCTCTACTTTGAGGTCATGGGTTTTTAGCTATCCTTTGTTCCTCATTTTTCTTTACCAGCCCCTCCTAACCTCTCTCTCGTGGATAAAACGTGGAGAAAAACAAAAGCAGTGTTTATCTTTTGTTTTACTCCATCCCATCTCAAGTCCTGTGGTTTCGGATAAGGCGCATTTGCCTCCGTGCCTCCACACCGAATCCAGCTAGCCATAAATCTCACAAGCAGAGGAGGCGTGCTAGGATATTCCACTTCTGCATATATAGCTCCTCAAACGTAGGGGTTCCTCAGAATGTGCCCTCAGCCCAGCCACATCGGCATCACCTGAGAACTTGTTAGAAATATGGATTTTGGACCCCACTCTAGATCTATTGAATCAGAATCCCCAGGGCTGGAGCCCAACAATCTGAGTTTTAAGGAGCCCTCCAGGTGACTCCGATACCTGCTCAAGTTTGGGAGTCACTGACTACTCTAATGCGATTGTTTCAACCTTGACTGCCCATTGGAATTACCTGGGGAGCTTTGAAAAATAGTGATTAAGCTCCCAGCCCTGGTTTTGATATGATCAGCCTGGGTTTGGCCTGGGCATTGAGAGTTTTAAACATTTCCAGGTGAGAGTAACGTGCAGCCAGGGTTGAGCACTTATGCTGTGATGGAAGCCAAGAGAAGACTCAGAGCCGATGTACCTTGTCTGGTCCTCTGGTTTTGGGTGAGGATGCAATCCTGTTGGTGAATGATGGTCTATATACTGCTGGTCCCCAGAGAGTGACAGAATCAGACGGGTCACTGCAGGATGCACGGGAAGAACAGAGGGAGAAAAAAAAATGAGAATAAAAAGTGAAGTTCAGTGAGAGATAGGTGGCAGCAGTGATGGCCATTCTGGTAGTCATATCATTTTAGTATCTATCAATCTAACCTTCTGCCTACCTCATTCCATCTATAAATCTTTGAATGTCTACTGTATTCAAGATAGTGTGCCAGGCCCCGTGGGGAGTCAGACATTCAAACATGGTTCCCATACTCAAGCTTACAGAATAAACTTTCTCTGAGCATCTTTCTAGCCTGACCCTGCTATAACAGAAATGATTCTACAAGTGTCTTGTTGCTCAGTGAAGAAATGACACTTGAACGGGTAAAAGCCAGACAAGAAAAAACATACGTGATTTTTAAAAACGGAGTATTCCTATGGAAATTGTCCCAAAGTGGAATTTCTGAGGTTATATTTGTTTAAACAGAAAACCCAAGAAAAGTCTTTCTCTAACTTGGTATCAGAATTTATTGACTATCATCTGGGATGCCCTATAGCGCTATTATCTCTGCTTAATAATGTATTTCTCTTAAGACGTTTCTGGTTATTCATCAACAGTAACCAGAAGGGTCTTTTTGAAGTTTTAAATGCACTGTGTCCTGTTTTCCACTTCACATTTTTTCTGCCCACACAGGTGCGGGCGGGCACACAGGCCACACAGACACTCTTAGAAGTACTTCCTAGCCTTTAAAGGTCACGTGTTGCTTCCTGCGTGAATCCTTGCCTCTCTCTATGCGTGCAGTATCCTCTGTGTCTCTCTACGGCGTTTGTAACAATCTGCGTTCTGGCAGGTTAACGGTGGACCTTCCTATGACACACACCTCCCCCCACCTGGGAGTCCCTTGAGGTTGACTGATGGGTTGCCTGGCTCGTTTTGTACACGTTACAATGTCTGGTGCTAAACTGTGTTCTCCCCTAGCCCTACATTCCTCATATCCCTGTTTCTAGACTTCGACTTGCAGTCAGATATACTCCAAATTTCACACCCCACCCCCCATTTTCCAACGTCATGCCTGATGAGCCTCTACGTTAGTTGGGGAGGCCAGTGGAAGCCAGAAAACCAGACCAGTAGCAGTTCCTGGAGCTTGGCCCAGAGGTGGGGAGGGAGAGCAGTAAACCCTCCTGACTGTCCCCAAAGCATTCCAGAAAGCATCATCTTTGTAGCTTTCCCCCTTCCGTCAGAAGGGTTTCCCTAAATTCTACACCTAGAAACCATCTAGTTCAGGCCCTCCTTCTATAAGAGATAAACCCCCAATAAAGACAGTCTTATTATCCATTATTGTAAAGAGAGCACAGAAAATTCAAGTCCAAGAAAGACCCGTACATTGACATGATCTGGAATTTTCTACTCCAAACGTGGGAAGCGTGAGGCTGTGGTGTCTGGTGCATGTTGATTACTAAGCTTGGTTGGGCTGACCTCAAGCCTCCGGAGGCCGCCCCTTCCTCCCTGTCCACATGAAGCCTTCCCCGAACTGGCACCTTGTCAGAGCGGGAAGCCTGTCAAAGGTGCATTATTGCTTGTCCTCACCTGCCAAAGCCCCCAAGTAAACTCACAATGTTCATTTGCCCAAATAGGGTCAAGCTGTCCGCTGTTTGCCCATTTTCCTTGAATAAGTCCTGCTATAACTACACACCTCTAGGGAAGAGGCAAATGAGTGAGAAAATTGCTACTTTCTGGGATAGTTGGCGGAAAATGGAATTTTTTTTTTAATATTATTCCCTCTTTTTCACCCTCCTTCATAGCCTCGTAGCAAGTCCTATCTTGTCCGAGTTTTAAGATGTTTCTTGTAATCCTCCCAACGCTTTGTTCTCACTAATCTTTGTTTATGGCAAGCCCCCACATTACACACCTGGAGATACAGATGTATATTCTACATATATGTAAAGGGTACAATTTAATTGTTTAGTATACTCACAGACATGTGCAACTATTTCATCTTCTCATAAAGCAACCCCACGCCCTTTAGCTATCACCCCTCCACCTTATCCTCCTTCCTACTCCCCCAGCTCAAAGCAACCAATGGTCTATTTCCTATCTCTATAGATTTTCCTCTTCTGGACATTTCATTAAAAATGGAATGATATAATATGTGTTCTTTTGTGACTGACTTCTTTCACTTAGCAGGAAGTTAAGATTCAGCTATGTTGTAGCGTCTCAGTACTTCATTCCTTTTCATGGCCAAATAATATTCCATTGTATGACTATACTACATTTTGTTTTTTCATTCATCAGTTGATGGAGATTTGGGTTGTGTCCACCTTTTCACTGCTCTTAATAATACTGCTATGAACATTTTATACAAGTCTTTGTGTGGACATATGTTTTGATTTCTCTCAGGTATTTACCTAGAAGTGGAATTGCTGGATCATATGGTAACTGCGTGTTTACACACTCGGACCTTGGCAGTAATCTCTGAACTGGTCTCTCTGTCTCTATTTCCCAGCTTCCACCCTCTGTGTTGCTATTAGGCTTATATTAATCTTTCTGAAACATTGCTTTCACCATATGTTGCTTCTATTTAAAATCTACAATACTTTACCCCTGAGAAGCTCCCCATCACATCCTAATTCATGCTTCTAGCTCCACCCCATCAATGACCTACATCCATCTTCTCATCTAAGTGTATTTTCACTTTTCTAGAATCTAGGTGTGACCCTCTGTTCTGCTCAGGTATGGTCCTCATTACCATCTAAAGATACAATGATTATTTCCTGTGTGTTTTGGTTTATACATTTTCCCTTGATAGAATGCCATTCCTCCTCCTTTTCCCATCCAAGAGCAGTTTCTCATAGTTGTGTGGCCTTTTCCCTTTTCTCCTCTCTCCTTAACCCAGCCCACCTCCTCCCAGAAGACATACGTGCACATGGCCCTCTGTGTCTAACGGTGCCCATTTTTAATCCCTGTAGGAGATACAGCAGCGGCACGGTCTGGCCAACTCCATCTCTTCCTACCTAATTAAGCCCGTCCAGAGGATCACTAAGTACCAGCTGCTCCTGAAGGTATCTGCCCTCCCCTCTCTGCCACCCTGACCACACTGTTGACCAGGCCCAGGGAGTCCCAGCTTTGCCCAAGGATGGGAAAGCTTCCACCTGAAGACCTTTCCTCTACCTGGAGCAGAACTTCAGAGATGAGCCCACGCTGGCACTGCTGGTTCTAGACTGCATGTTCTATCCCATGAAATTCCAGATGCTTATTGGGGTGGGGGAGAGGAGAAATGGGAGCAGGAATGGACTGTGACTATTTTCACGTGCATCCACCACCGCACAGCTTTTAGTGACTGCAACCCCAGGCACTGGCTGGTACATAGAGTCTCTCCTGTCCTTTCCTTTTGGGCAGATTCCTCCTGGTGGACCCTGCTTCCGATGGGATCCGGGGTCAAGGTGTTAGGGGCAGTGCCAGTCTACGTGGGCAGTGGAGGCCCAGGGCAGCACCTACCATTGCCTTAATCTCCATGTTTGTCAAGACTAGGAGGTTTCAGAGAGGAAATGGTTAAAAAGTACATATTAAAACACAGTGGCGCTCTGCAGGATCCCATATGTTAGGGGTTCTTCTGGAGCCAGCCAAGAGATTTGGGTTTTTTCCAAAATCTTTTTCTTTGAAAGTCAAATAATCAAATTATGTAAAATACTGAGTGATTTGGGCTGATTCTTCTCAGAGAAGGACACACTGACAGTCTGAAAATATGACATTTCCCCACAGAAAGCCTGGGACATCAATATCATAGGCAGTTATATAACCTGTATCTATATTAATTCTTAATGTGCAAGCGTGGAGTTTTCCCTAAGTTTGAATATTTTGCTCGTCGCTCCTCAAATGCAAAGGATAAAAGCATAGGGAGAGGCATGTCATAAGTAGTATAGTTCCAGAGAAAATCTGTTGAAGTTCAGCTCTGTGAGATGCTTGCTGAACTTCACATATTCTATCTGCTTCACTAAATCTGAAAACCAGTCTAGTTTCAAATTTAGATTCTAGTCACGTTGGGGTGTGCCCAGCTTTCCAGTCTGTGGGGTCTTCCTGCCTTAGCACTTGTAGCTCCGTGATAAGAGGAGTGGGGGCAGCAGTGAGTCGTGCCCCGACCTCTCTTCTCACCTCTGGATCAGGGGAGGGCCCTGCACCATCCTTCTTCCCCTTCAGCCTCCTCCTTCAAGCCATCTCCTTCTTCGACTCCAGGAAGAGACAATGGGCTTCACTTCCAGGCCCTCCAGTCTCCCAACCCTGAAGAAATGACTTAGAGAATCACCACAGGGCATCACGCCCTTGGCCTTTATTGAGACTGGTATCAGAAATAACTATGCAGAACATCACGGCTGTTCGGGCAGAACTGCTGCCGGCATTTTGAGGATGCCATCCTGTCTGTTTTTGAATTTTCTTATATAAAGGCTCACAGAAATTCTCCTAAGATCTCGGAGTGGTGGCGAGAGGCTTCTCTTCTGAAAAATTGGTGTGCTTCCTACCTTTAAATCAGAAGAGCTTGAGGTCCTTCTTTGCCTTTGACTGTCAGAGAGTTAGCATCCACTTTTGTGGTTACTTGCAGGAATTTCTCCTTAACCAGATTTCTGTGTATAATTATCCTCTCCTTCTCTAGCCCACTTGATGCACGACGCTTCTAAATGATTTTTCTTGTGCCAGAAGATTTTTTTTTTTAATTTATTTTTGTGGTTTTCAAATTTAAGTATCCCAAAGCCTTTTCGGGAATTGCTGGGGTTGTGCATTGAAAAAACAAAACAAAACTGGCATGCCCACCCACACTGCCAGGGTCTTAAATCAATGAAGATGCAGTTCGAAAAGAAATATAGTTTGTCACCTCTCCCTGTTAATCCCATAAGGCTGAAGTTCCTGGGATGAATTTTGTGACATGGACAAGGGAGGGAAGTAGAGGATGGATGGGTTTCCCTGTGTTTTGCTTTAGGCAGATGGAGGGGTGGGCTCTGGGCCTTCATTCTGTAACTGGATGTTTTAGGAAGAGAGGACCGTGCAGGTAACTGAGAAGGGAGACAGTGAAGTAGGGGGAATTTGTTGTAGAGACATTGAAAATTATTTGGGACAAAAAAGAGTTAAGATAAATTTGACCTCTTTTAAATGTGCTGGTAGCAGAGTGCTTGCTGAGTAAAAGAACAATAGTTTGCTTTTACTATAAATAAATAATATGGGATTTATGTTCTTATTCAAGTTAGTTTTATTCCGAATAAATTAATACTTAATTATCAGTATCCTCTGGGGTTCCTCCCTTTAAGTGTTGCATGAAAGTGAAAGTCAGAGTGTTCGGTTGTCTGCATGTAAATCTGCTACAGCTGTCCTTGTGGAGTCTAAATTAAATATGCTGTCGTAAACCATAGCAGGGATCTGAGGAGAACTCATTGGTTTTGCTAGTTGATCGGTGGACTTGTCAGATTACTTTGGGAGGTTAAACTAATAGGTGTTTTCTGTTGCAAACTGAAGCATATTTCTTTCTTTTTCTTTTTGGCTGAGTTCGGTCTTTGTTGCTGCGCGCGGGCTTTCTTTAGTTGTGGCGAGAGGGGGCTACTCTTCGTTGCGGTGCACAGGCTTGTCGTTGCGGTGGCTTCTCTTGTTGCGGAGCACAGGCTCTAGGCACGCGGGCTTCAGTAGTTGTGGCATGCGGGCTCATCAGTTGTGGCTCGCAGGCTCTAGAGTGCAGGCTCAGTAGTTGTGGCGCGTGGGCTTAGTTGCTCCACGGCATGTGGGATCTTCCTGGACCAGGGCTCGAACCCTTGTCCCCTGCATTGGCAGGTGGATTCTTAACCACTGTGCCACCAGGGAAATCCCTGAAGCATATTTCTTATTTTTGTCTTATGTTTCTGCCTAGAAGTTCCTTTGATGATGTATGAGAACAGGTTGGGAGGATCAAAATTAGGAAAGGATGGGGAGAATCAGAGAACTTCAGGTTGGCAGAAGTAAATACAGCTTTCTGAATGATGATACTATTATACTGACTGGAACCAAGGACAGAGCTGAGAACTGATCATGTCTACCTCCCAAACATGTACTCTGGGCAGTTCACCTCTTCTTTGGACACTCAAAGCTCTCTTCTTCATATGGAAATGTATCCAAGATGACACAAAGGCTTGGATTCTCATATCAGATGCTCATTAATCAGATAATCTTACCAAGTATAAAGCTTTACTAATAATTTCAAAGATACAAATAATCCCAAAACAGAGGTAAAGCACAGAGAGAAGATCACCAATAGCTCCAAGTCCTTTCTTACAGCATCAGGATGTACTGTGGCCCTGATTAACAGGCAAGGTTTCTAAATGATGTATGTCGCATCCTATCACTTACCCTGAAGAGAGCCATTTTGGTCATGAAATGTAATCACTTTTTACTTAGACAGTTGTGTAACTTATGTGATATTGCCCATGGATTCTGTGTTTGTTTACCATGAGAAGTCCTAGACAGACCAGATATATCCTACTAACAGCACTCCATAAATAAGTACTCTCCTGCTAGCAAGTACTACTAGTTTGTCAAGAGGTCTGTCATTAATGTGTTTATAAGGTTTGATCTTGTCAACTTCTTTCTTTCCTGGAAATGCATCCCCACCCATCCACCCATTCCCTGCCTTCCCTTACACCATTCCCTCTCTCCTCCACAGAAGGAGAGAGTATGGATTGTAGATCTCTTAACCTTTTCCTTCCCATTGTCCAAGTGAGCAAGATACGATAACCCTGATAGGAACAATGAAAGCCAGCATTCTTCTGGTTTGGGTGAAATCATTCCGAGTGGCCTTTATGGTTACTAAAACAGTTGGAAATTATCTTTTCTCCATCCACCAGATACTATATATCTTTTATGGATATAGTAATGACCTAGTCTCCAATGAGGATGTAAAAGAGGGGACACGCTCCAGGAGGACAGGTGGAAGACAGGTTGGCATGGTGGATGGAGTACCTGGATTTGGGTTCAGGAGACCTGGATTCAGGCTCCTGCATGGCCTCTAGTGAATTCTATAACCTGGGGGAAATCTCTGTCCCTATTAATCACAGTGTCCTCATCTGACAACGCAAGGACTAATCCAGAATCCCGTCTATTGGCCCCAGGTTAGGAACTCCTGATCCATATGATCTAAAAATCTTTGATAACTGAACAACTATGCCTGTAATGTCCATAACCCCAAGTTGCTCCCAGTATGGTGGAAGTCATTCAGGCAGTAGAGGTGTGTAAATAAAAGTGGTGCTGGCAGTAGGCATGCAGCGATGTATGAGCACCGTGTGTCCTTCGCACACCATCTGTCTCCTCTTTATGATCACACAGCACTGCACCTCTGTTCATGTGTTTTGCCAGGGGTATTCCCTGACCTCCAGGAGGTCAGTCGAGTGACAGAGAATGCCCTAGTTGCTGACTTCTAGTGCCAGCCATTTGGGAGTTGGGTTGAATTGAGTTAGTTTGGATTAGACTGAGCTGAGGAAGCTCGGCCTGGGAAAAGCATGGTGGTTGAATTCTTTGGAGATAACCATTCCACCCCACCCCACTTTCCTTATGCCTCAGAGGGGACCATTACAGAGAATGAAGCTGGTGTATAAATCCTTGAGGAAATGGTATATAATTGCCTTGAGGGGTTAGGTAGCGGGATGGTGGGGAAGCTGGGGGAAACGGTTCTCAATGTATCTGGACTTTTTTCGCAGGAACTTTTAACTTGCTGTGAAGAAGGGAAAGGGGAGCTCAAGGATGGCCTGGAGGTGATGCTCAGCGTCCCAAAGAAAGCCAATGATGCCATGCACGTCAGCATGCTGGAAGGTAGCTGTCCTCTCAGCCTCCTCAGGGGAGCCGCCTCCTTTCCTAAGACCATGAAGCTTGTGTCATGGGAGGGAAGTGGCATGAAGTCAGGCAAGGGGCCAAGCTAGAAGAGAGGAGAAATGGCAACTTGTTACATAGGTCCTGGGGAAGCGTGCGAGGAGATCCACAGGGGCTAGCTCAGCTAACACCTGCCTCCAGGCCTGTGCCGAATCAAATATGTGGACAACTTGCTGCCTGAGAGGTAGAGTAGGACAGGCTGTCATCCTTACTATAAATGTGCTAGAGCCCCTGACCCACAGCAGCCCTCTTCCTCTGCATAACATTTGCACTGCGTTTGTCATCAGAATAAGTAGAAATCCTGCACATACACACACCCACCGTCTTTAGCCTTGCGCCCTGCTCTTTTTTTATATACTAAAATATACATAACATAAAGTTTACTGTCCTAACCATTTTGAAGTGTACAGTTCAGTTGCATTAAGTACATTCACGTTGGTATGCAGCTACCCTCATGCCCTTCCTAGCTGGTAAGGAAAGTCCAGCCAGCTAAACCTGATAGGACTTTGCTGAAGCACGTTCATCGGCTGGAACCATGCTCTTGGGACCCAGAAACCTGGTAGAGTGAGACTCCAATAAGTGCTCCTAACACCGCAGAACAGAGCAGATATGGGCAGAGCAGCCTCTTTGGGGTGGAAACTGTTCGATGTGTTAATACTCAGTATCCCAGTCTGGGCTGACAAACAGGTGAGATAAGGAAGGTGAGTCTACTCCGTTGTACACGGTAAACCTGTGGGGTATTTCCTCTCTTCTGGTCTCCATCACCCCCCACCACTTGCCCCGCCCCAACGCCATCTAAAAGACTTGGTCTGGTTTCAGTACTTCCTGGGCCACCCTTAGCACAGGAAGCCCCACTTCTTCATGCAAAGGAGCCCTGATTACCTGCTCTAGACTGAGCCCTGACCATCTGAACATTCCTAGTGTCACACTTTCTCCACCTCTTCTTTTCTGTTTGCACCTACTCCCCACGCCCACCCCCCACCCCTGCATGTCCGGCTCTGTAAGTACCCTCTCCTCCGGCCTGTCCCTGACCTGTATTCCGGATCCAGCTACTCAAGGGCTGCTCTGTGCACCAGCAGCAGCAGCACCTGGGAGCTCGTCAGAGCGCAAATTCATGGGCTCCACCCCATCCCTACTGAATCCCGGTCTCTTGGGAGTGGAGGAATGGGCAGGAATCTGTGTTCTCATAAGCAATCTAGGTGATTCTTACCCACACTAAAGTTTGAGAACCTCTGTTAAAGTGGCATGAATATAAATTGTTGAAGCCTTGTGCACCACGCAGTATAGGAGCGATCCTAGGAAGAGTCCTAGGAATGGAACGTAAGAAATGAAGCAACAACAAATGGAGTAGAGTCAAGGGCACTCGGGCAGGCAGCGTTTGTCCTCAGCCCCACTCCGAGCTCCAAGACAGGGACAGTGGGAGCTGTGGAGGGAGAAGGAGAGATGGGGTTTACTTTGCAGGAGGTCCCCGGCTGACAGTGGGGCTGGGGGAGGCTGCACAGGAGCTTTGCAGGAGGTTCCACTGATACTGGTTCTGGAGAGGAGGCCTGGGTGTTTTTTAGGGTTCGACGAGAATCTGGACGTGCAGGGGGAGCTGATTCTGCAGGATGCCTTTCAAGTGTGGGACCCCAAGTCGCTGATCCGGAAGGGGCGCGAGCGACACCTGTTCCTCTTTGAGATCTCCTTAGTTTTCAGCAAGGAGATCAAAGACTCTTCAGGACACACAAAATATGTTTACAAGAACAAGCTACTGGTAGGTGGGGCAGGTGGGGTCAGATGAGACTCTCCATTTGCATAGTGCCCTTGGGCAGGAAGGGGTCTTGAACACTCCGCTCATCTCTCCCCTGGCGCCACACCAAAACCATCCTGGACAAATGAAAATGCGTCCTAGTTGGAAAGCGCCCCCTCAACTCCCACCTTTGCATCTTAGCGTTCACCGTTCTTCTTCCAGTTGGCTTTGGGCGCCTCCCTCTTCACCTTCCCTCCCTGCTACCTGCTCATCAGGCACGTGCCTGTAGGTCCTTGCATCCTGGGTAGAACAGAACATCCGATCTGTTTAAGTTTGATTGACAGAGCCCCTCCCTCGGTCCTCTCCTCTCTGTTGCCTTTCCCTTCCCAACCCCAGCCCTAAGTCTCCCCACTGCCCTCCCCTTCCCCGCCTCTCACAGGCATTTCCTGTCTACAGACCTCAGAGCTGGGTGTGACGGAGCACGTAGAGGGCGATCCCTGCAAATTCGCCTTGTGGTCTGGGCGCACCCCATCCTCAGACAATAAAACAGTGCTGAAAGTAAGTACTGCTCTCTGCTGGGCACAAGACCAAGGTTGGGGATAGCTGAAGGGAACGCGGAGGGATGTGGGCAGGATCCACCTGAAAGCTGGGGCCTGGAGACTCCACCGGGCCACTGGGCTTCTCTCTCTCTCGGGAAGGGTAGCTTCACATGGGTGTTGAGATGCAAATTCTATCATGAAAGTAGCCTGAAATCTCAAGATGAGTCATCTCCTAAGTGCAGGCACCTGCTGGAGCATGGCGGGAAGAAGGCAGGGAATGGCCTCAACAGGGCCCACGTAAATACGTCCTGTCCCTATGGCTCCTTCAAGTGGCAAGGACAACAAATGACCCTTTGGTAAACGGCACCTTGATTTGCTCCACATTCACTCCACATTTTTTTTCCTGAACACCTTCCACATATAAGGTATTCTGCTCAGTGCTGTGGAGGATAACTCTGTATGGGATATGAACCCAGTCCTCTGGGAACTTATGTTCTAGGAGCTCTAGTGAATCATACTAACATGGGAACTATGCTGATTGAGAGGAGTGTTGAGAAGGGGCCTTAAGGAGTCACCTCAGCTCCCCAGGGTGCACGTAGCCTGGGAACTGAGTCAGTGCCCGTGGTCCTGTTAGTGTAACCGAGGAGAGATCCTGCACATGGCGCACCCACCAGTCACGTGCTTACCAGGGAAGTGCCCATCCCCAAGGAGGAGATGGGCCAGCCCGGACCAAGCTTCACACCTGTTTACTCTGAATGCCAGCATAGCTGCTACCTGACGTGAGGCAGAAGTACCTGAAAAAACTTCCATGAAGACAAATGGGGTGTTCATGGATTGGTAGCAATGCCTTCAATGAACAGGTTTACTGGGCTAAAAACCCAGGACTGACTTTCAATCAGTACAAGCCAATGTAGCCATATAGGTGTTGAGCCTCCTGACGTATATCCAGTTATACCAGTTGGTAAATGGCCGCTGCCTCCAAATGCCCCCTTGCTGCCCCTCCTGTGCTCCCCAGACCTCCTCAGAATCTAGTAACTGAAGTGTTAACCCTTGGCCCAGCAGGGGCAGTTATCAGTGCTGGTCAGTGCCTCCCAGGTTATTAAATACTTTGAAAATCATCCCGTAGAAATCTACATTGAGTCTTGGGGTCATAGCCCTGTTCTAGGAGTTGGAGAAGCATGTCCCTGGGATTGAAGAGTCACAAGTATAAAACGAGAGAAATAAACCCCTCCAACGTTTGGTATCCTTGAAGATGATGGATTAAGCCTGCAAGAGGAGGGTTGAGAACTGTCTCAGTGGATTGAAGGGAAATGGGATTCTCACTCTCTCTCCCTGTGGCACTCCAGGCCTCCAACATAGAAACCAAGCAGGAATGGATCAAGAACATACGCGAGGTGATTCAGGAGAGGATCATCCACCTGAAAGGAGCTTTGAAGGAGCCAATCCAGCTCCCCAAAACACCAGCCAAACAGAGGAACAATAGTAAGAGGTAACCAGCGTCTCTGCCCCCAGCACAGCCTCACAGGCTTCCGGGAGTGGGGGTGGGGTGAACCTTTGCTTCCACGGGGGCGGTGCACTCTGCAGGCGGCACCCCTCTCTGTGACACCCCACTGAGTTCTACCTAAGAGGAGTCACCTTCTCTTTAAGCATCTCATTACTGTTACTGACAGTTACATTCAGCAGGGCTTCCCTGGGCACCTGTCCTCTGATAAACACGGTGCTGGGTGCCTGGGGAAGATAAAAGGAAGTGTAAGATGAGTCCATTCCCTCAAGAACCACCTGACAGTCACATCTCACACGTGGAATAGTTAGACAAGAAGAAGCAGGACCACCCGTAGGGACAGGAAATGCTGCAGGCATCAAGGAGAGGGGACTTTGGATGAGCACTGGAGTGAAGTGTCTGGGGAAAGCTTTGGGAAGGAGGTGGCTTTGAGTCGGGGCTCTCTGGGCTGGCTAGACAGCCAAAGGACTGTAATGTGGGCGTGGTAGGTGGGACTGTCACTGCAGCTCTTACTGCAAGCCCCAAGAGTCCTCGTCTTCATTCATCTGAGATAAGCAATATGATGGGGCAGAGGAGGACTTATTTTTTATATCTGCATCTCCCTGGGCCCTTCTGAGTCTGAGTTTTCCTAAGACCAGTGGATGACTGCTTGAGTATCTCCTTCTCGAGTCTCCGTGCTACAGTCACCTACAATGACTCTCTTGGAGGGCACTTCAAGAGAAAGCATATAAAAGCTTCATACCAGTTTTGGAAAAGAAAAAACAAAAACAGAGTTATGGAGGTGATGGATGTTGGTGATAACAGGCTGTCCTCTCCTCTCCTATTCATGAATGGATTAAATTCAGGAGATTTTAGTTGACCCTTTGGTGCCAACCAGGCTACACAGGCTTGGGAGCCACCAAGGGAGGTGGTAGCCAAAAGAAGGGTGTGGCTGAGGTAGAGAGAGATTCCTCCAGGAGGCAGGAGCCCCAAGACCAGCATGACCAGGATAAGGTCCCCTCTCGGTGCTGAAGGAACAATTATAACCCCTCCCTAGAGGGGTTATTTTGATTTCAGTTGCCTTTGTCCAGAGTCCAGGTAAGGGGCAGACTTAGTTGAGCTCTAGAGACAGACCCTGCTGTAGGAAGCCTCTACTTCAATAAAGAAGAGAGAATGGAAACAGTTATAAGGAATTGAAGGTCCAGGACCATGGTGGGAAGGATATTCAGGTGAGCTTATCTAGGGTTACTCTGCAAGAAAGGCCCCTTTTTCCTATAGTAGGAGAGTTTGAGCATCTCTAGAACATGGGATGGACATATCTTGGAAATGCCTCACACCTTTTCTTGGTCATTGTCCTGTGATGAGAGGGGGAGAAACCTTGGCAGTCTCCGCAGAGAACAGCCAGCCATTGTGTTATTTCATTAGCTTGGCTCCCTGCATATGGGGACAGAGTTTACAGAGGAGTGGACTGGCTTGGGTAATGCAACCGACACACCTGGTTGGGCTCCCCACATCCCCCAGAACTGGCCTCATCTGGTGTGGACCAGAAGGGCCTGCAATGGGCCAGAATAGTGGGAAGCAGAACGTACAGCCAGCTCTCAACTGTCTACAAATGGTGGGGAGCACTGGTCCAGATATCTGAAACAACAGATGATCTGAAACTCCTTTATTTTTGGTTTTGAAATACATCACATGATTTCTTTCTACAGTAGATCTTCCTTCCTATGAATCTGTGGCTTATATTATTAAAATAAATTGGCATTTCCCAAGCCCACAAATGGTGGTGAGAGAACAATTGACTTAGAAGTGTTCTGGGTGGGAGAAAACACTTTTTATGACTAGCAGACCCAGTGTATGTATACTGGCATCCCATGTATGCCCACATGCACACGCGTGTCCACACACACTCACACTCCAGATTGTAGTTATTTAGACTCTGAGATTCGGTATATGGGATATGTTGCCCATGTGGTAACACTGTCAGGCACTGAGTTCCCATTTCCCCTAAGGCTATACTTCTCCATAAGCAGTATCACGGGTGTGACTTTCACAAAGACCTCCATAGGAAGAGCTGTCACTTCCTGGGCTGGTTTATCCAACCCCCGGCCCACATCTCCAGTTTTTCCAGACACAGACTCTTCAGCCTTCACCAGTTCCCAGGCATCTAATCCCCGTTGGCCAGAGCTTTGGGTTCAGTGTAGGATTGGGACCCAGTTCTAAAGCTGGAGAGTTGAGGGAGCATGTGAATGGGACAGCAGTGTGGTCCAGGGGCCCAGGCAGGGGTCCAAACGTCAGGAGTGCACTTAGGAGACTATCTTATCAGACACTCAGGAGCACAGCTGGCTCAAAAGCTGCTGCAGAATCTGTGACCGTCCTCTTATCTTTGAGAAGATGCCTTGGTCTTCTGTGTTAATAAGAAATCATCATAAATAAGTATGAGATCACCAAGACCCACCAAAATGAAGGCAATAAACTCCTCCAGAGCCAGAAGTTGAGGGTCCGACCTTCCCAAGGATAATCTCCCCTGGGGAAGATGTCCCACCCCATTTTCTTGAGCAAAAGAAACACAGGTCAAAAAGATATCTTCTCAGTTCTCTTTATAAGCCAGCTATAAGCCACCCCCACCCTGTTACAGCATATACAGAAAATCTGTTTGAATACCCTGAACTCTGGGACTGTTGCAGATGACCCAGGCAGCTGCAGAGAAGCCTAGGTTCTAAGCAGGACATACTTCTTCCTACTGCCTTTTATAGACACATTCCTAGTGAAAATAAGTAAGTAGCTGCCCACTCTGCACCGTGGGCCAGAGGAGTTACGGAGAGGAGTCATCTGTGTTCAGTTATCAACATAGTGGTTATGTATTTGCTAAGTGCAAGAAGTGACATCATTGAAAATTACATGGGACCTGCTTCCTTTCATGGGATAAGTTTAGACACATCCCTGCTGGAAAGCGCTAAGGCTCTGCTCCGCCAGCCCAGCTGGAAACCCTTGTGTGCTCTAAGCCCACAGTCGCTCCCCCCACCCCCACCCCTGTTGCTTTTCTCTTCTTCCTGCAGGGATGGAGTAGAGGATGTTGACAGCCAGGGGGATGGGAGCAGCCAGCCAGACACCATCTCCATTGCCTCTAGGACCTCTCAGAACACAGTGGACAGTGACAAGGTAGGACAGTGCCCCAACCTTCCTTCCCCCAAGACTTCTTGTTGGCTTAACCACCCCTGGAGAGTTAACCCCTAGAGGAATTTCTCCCATGGTGGAGCCTGACCTCAGGAGCCAGTGGTCTCTTTGTGCCGGCCAAAGGGGAAGGAGCAGGGCTGGAGGAGGTATGTCACAGCATGGAGATCTTGTCTGAGGGGCAGAAGATTGAGGTGGCCAGCCAGACCTCTCACGTCATGAGAGTTTAGCAGAACTGGCGAGGGGGGAGAGTGAGTCTGGGTTTCCTCTCCTTCTGAGATGCCTCACCGGCGCTGCCTGGGCTGCCCTGCCTTCTGGGAGGCTGGAACTCAGGGAGCTGAGGCTGGGATAGTTTCCAGAGACCTAAATTTAGACCAAGATCAGTGATTTGGGAAATGGCCACAGAGATGCCGGTTGGAAGGGGCCTCCTATCCGAAGGGGCTCTGGTGGAAATGATGCCCTCCTCTGGCCAGAGTACTGGGGCTCAGTTCCTGAGGGGCAGAGGACCAGGAAGTGGTATTTGAAGCGGCGTGGAGGGATGTAGTTGTCTCAGGAGAAAACCTGGTCACTTGCTTGCGTACATTTGGGAGCAAGTAAGCAAAAGTTAGGAGCTCTGATGGGGAGCCAAAGAAAGGAGAATGTAGCAAAGACTCAGTGCATTTGCTCAAGCTAGCGGAGGAATTCAGCGGTCTGAATGTGCAGGAGGGACGGGGAAGGTTCTGTCTCTGACCCTACTCTCATTTGCTTACCTCAGGGTCGGAAGAGTTTGAGGTGATCGTTTTCTGGATACTAGGGATTTTATTAATAAAGGTTTGGGTTTACAAGGACCATTTGGCCCTAGTTTCTAGACCTAGTATTTTGGCCTTAGTCCTTCAGCCTCAGACAACAGGCTGTGTCCTCGCTTCATTTTAGTTTTCTAAGTTAGGGGCATTTTTAAAAGATAATCTGCATTCATTAGGATTTTTCCTAATTTTTTTCTTACTGGGAAAAAAAAAGAAGACTATGCCCCCCAAACCTCCTAAGATCATGTTGCTAAATCGTGCTCTAGACTAGTGAGCAAGGACTTGCAAGGTAATTCATTCTGTTTGACGTCCTGCCTTCAAGTTTCTAAGCCACTTTTGACTATCAGAGTGGATGGAAAATTGTTTTTTTTCTACTTGTAAAACATACAAAGAAAACTATTTCTGTACTTTCCTTTCTCCTCTGATCCGTTGTTTAGAACTATAACCCAGAGTATCCTATGAATGAAAGTGTTTATTTTTAAACAGTCAGTGGGTGGTAAGTGAAGTGCATGTTTCCCATGTTCAGACATAGCAGCCTATTAATCCATGGTCTGGGGGATGCCTCCCTTCCGGCTGCTGCTTTGTCTTCCCCGCGACCCTTAAACAGACACCTCTGCCAGAGACAGCTGTCTTAGGAAGCCCTGGCTCCGGCCTTTCCTTGTCCTCTGGCAAGGTGAGTGTGGTTAGAACAGAACGCCTCCAACAGCAGGCATTTCTTTGTTAATGAGGAACCCTGGTACTTACACATTACCCACAAGTAAGGAAACTGATGCCCAGAAAGACTGAGTGACTCGTCTAAGAAAATCCTAGTGGGGAGTGGAAAAGCAAGAACCAGAACCCAGGTCTCCCTGATTCACTGTCACGTTTTTTCCCTCGCTCTTATTAAAGTCAAAGCTTTGAGCTCCCAATGCTAAGATGAACTCAGCTGGCCAGACCTTCTGCACATTCCACAAAAACATCAGTCACATGTTCATGAAAAAGCACCCACCACATGCCGAGCTCTGTGCTGGATACTGTAGAGACATGTGGATGCTTTGTCGAGTGTGAATCCTTATATGTGTAATTTTCGTTTCATGTATGTCTCTATAGCCAGGCTCTTAAGCCCTGATGAGGGCCGGGGTTGTGTCTGTCTGTTTCATGGCTGTATCCTCAGCACATAACACACATGGACGCTCAGGAAGTACTTGGGGAATGAATGAACAGAGTGGGTAGAGAACTGCGGCATGAAGAGGAAGCTAAAACAGGTGGTCTGAAAGCAGCCATACATACAAATGTTGTATTTTTAAATATGCTAAAGAAGCCTAGAAGTTTCCTTACTTGCAAGCAGAAAGCTGCAGGTAATGTTCCCGGCCTGTTGGGAACATTAACCCTTAATTACCTTCTCAGCATGGGCAGCGGGTTGGGAGATGAAGAAAGATTCTGTGTTCTGACACAAAACCTGGAAAATTGCTTAGAAATAGTCAGATAAAGGGAGGGCCTGTCTGTGACCTTGCACTGCAGTTAGAATGTTCTTACTCTTCTGACACTGAGCAGTGAGATCAGGACAGCCAGGTGTTCCCTTGACCTGCCCTGTCCTTCATCAGAGAAACCATTTATTGGTATCTTTGAATTCATAGATGTTATCAACAAAGTTAAATTTCCCCCTATCTATACCCGAAGACCAGGAAACTGGTCTCCATTGGTTTCCAAGTGGTCAGGTGAACAGACTCTGAAGAAGAGGAAGAGCAAGTGGGTTGATTCAGGTAGGCTGAGCCTACCTGGGCAAACAGGGTGGCTGTGGGGAGAGGATGGGGCAGAGGCACCTCACAGGGATCAGGGTCATTTTATTGGTGAGTTTCTAGGAAAGGCCCCAGTCTTCCTCTTCTAATCCAGAGGAGTGAGAGTCATAGCACTGTGGGCTGGGTGGATGGTAAATGTAACCATTAAAGGGCCATGACAGACGACCTTGAGGAGCTGTGGGGCCCCAAGGCCCCTCTGCAATCCCCTTGTGTGTCCTCTGTGCGCTGGGGTGGGGTGGAAGGAGTTTGGACACACCTGGATTCAAATTCCAGCTCTGGCACTCACCCTCTGTGTCATATTGCCTGAGTTACTGCACCTTAATTCCCCAACCTGTAAAACAAATACCCGTCTCACTGAGTCCTTGGGAAGGTTAGGTAAAATATATTTAGTTGGCATCTCTTAGACATTCAGTAAAGGTTAACTTTCCATCCTTATTAGAGGGGAAGCAGAAATTTAGATACTGTGAATAGGAGTGCACAATTATTAAACAGAAGTTCTTGAGTAGAGTTCTGCCCTCTGAGTCCTTGGTCCATTAACTGTCAGTAGGTTTTTTTCTATATTAGACCTAAAGGGGTGGAACATCAGTTTACTTGTCTCTAATAGGGCAACTTTACTCCTCTTCCCATTTGCTAACCCTTAGAATCTAAGACGTAGCTATTTGTAGTTAGCATTGGCTCGTGGCTTATTTTATTATCCAATGGGTTATGGTCCATTACTGCCAGGTATTTCACTTTAATCCTCAGATTGTATCACCTTTGGCCAGTGGTAATCCCTAAGTCTTTAGATATTTGAAGACAATTGTCTTTTCTCTTAATCTTCTTTGTTTAGAAGTCCTCAGTTTCTCCAACTATTCCTTGTATTAATGTGTTTTCCGACCCTTCCATATCCTGGTTGCCTTCCTCTGGTTTACTCTAGTATGTAATGATCTGTGTAAAATGGGGCCTCCAGCATGGTATATTAAGTACATTAGGTGTGATCTAACTGATGCAAATTCATCTCCTTGTTCTAGAGCTACTATGCTTGCCCTCCTCCCTAAGAAGGTTCACCGTGTCTAGTAGGGTGTACAGTGCTGGCTCATAAAATCTCCTTGCCTGTTTTTGTGGACTGCCCTTAATTCAGCATGTGACTTAGTAACCTGAGTGTCAGACTACTTAATATCTATTAGATTTTCTCTTGCTTAGTTCCATCCATAATCCAGTATGTTTTGAATATAAATTATTCTGTCCAGTATGTCAGCTGCATTTCCCAGCATTATTGGCTAAACATACGTTTTGTGGCTTCATCCAAATTCTGGCTAAAAAGACAAGGTTGAGAACAGAAGACCAATGCCTGGCCCCTCCTCATTTCCCACCCAGGTTTTGACACTTGGAACCCTCCTTGTCTGACTCTTCTTTCTAGGAAAGGGAACTCCCCCACTTTTCTCTATAACAGAGAAGCTGGGATTGCTTGTGGTAAATCCTCCCTTGATGAGGAACCAATCTAATATTATTAATTCTGCATTAAACGCTGACAAAGCCAACACAGGTGCCTCAGTAAATGGCACGAATAAGCTTTCCCCAAAGTTGCTTTTGCTCATCTCTCAAATGGGTCTGCCTAATTAGGTTCTACCTTGCCCCTGTCCCATGTAAAAGTGTCATCTCTCTGAAGGCAAATGGATGTGAGCTTACTTTGTTCTGTAGAGATCTGGGTCTGAGCCCCTTCCTATTCTGTCCAGAACATGCTCACACTACTCTGGGCCTTCCACCGTAAAGTCTCTTTTGCTTATACACGTATTAAGTGATGGAGCTTTGCAACCACACTTCAAAGACATCCAGAATTATAGAATTGTAGTCAAGCAAGGCTGGGTTATGAGGTGGCAGTGAAGAAGTGTCTTGTAGTTGAACACGATGGACGTCTGCTGAATAATTACCAGCTAATGGTGCAGAAGCGGCCATCTGGGCAGTGACGTCCCTGTGCATGTATAACATTTGCCATTTAGACTAGGCATGCTGGAGACATTCAATAAATGCTTATCGAATTGAACATTACAAACACCTCCTAGTAGGGATGCTCTTCATCCAAAATACACTATGACTTTCTAGACATGTCCAGACTGGCTGGAGACAGGGAAATTGAGTTGTGAGTGCTATAGTCCCTGCAAAAATTACAAGGGAAAGAACACTGCTGGAACATCCCGGGACTGAGTGTGATTTTAAGGAGGGATTTCAAAAGCAAGCAAATGTGATCTAAGGTACAAGGTGGGCTGATAATGACAGTGTGCTGAAGGGGGACGGGAGATGCCTGGAGAAGCCTGGAGATTCCAGGATTTAACTCAGAAGTTTTTAAACTCTCGACTGTCAAATCGATATAATGGGTCATGACCAAAATTTTGTTTTACCATGTGGGAAGAAACGCTCTAAAGTCAAAGGATTCCTACAAGGTCACTCA